ATGGGTACCCAAAACCATAAATAAGGACTACTTGGACCCTTAGGGGTTCATATTCTGACTGCTTGGGCGCACTGTTTGGCCCCGCAGCCCAACTTGGAAGCTCGGCCTCTCAGGCTTAAACCCTGAGCCGCAAAACCCTTTCATTCCTAAGCAAAACCCTAAACCCCAACATACCCTAAGAAATCCTAATCCCTAAACCCTAAACCCCAGTAAACCCTAAGAAGCCTTAATCCCTAAATCCTAAGCCCCAATGTAAAACCCTAATCCCTTAACCCCAACCCCAATATACCCTAAGAAACCCTGAACCCTGAACCCTAGGAAACCCTAAGAAACCCTAAGAAACCCTAATCTAATCCCTAAACCCTACCTGTGACCCCAAACCCTACAAAATAGTAGGTTAATTAGAGGGTAGAACCCTTAAAACGGTACTGTAGGTTTTTGGATCCCTAGCTGAGCCCCACTATAACCCTAAACCCTAAGAAACCCTAAGAAACCCGGAGACTGCTGTGCCAAAGATCTCGGACCTCCCCCGGAAGCGACGCGAAGAACCAGCTCTATGGCTATAGGATCCTCCCGGCCTGGGTCAGTAGGTTTTATAAGGGCTTTATGGGCTTTATGGGGTTTAGGGGTTTAGGCGGGTTTAGGGTTTAGGGGTTTAGGGTTTAGGGCTTTAGGGGTTTAGGGTTTTTGGGTTTAGGGTTTTAGGGTTTAGGGTCTGGGGTTCTTACATTTTCCGAGTTCTTGCCAAGGTTGACGGGTGCGTAGAATTCGATATGTACCGGTAGTAGGAGCGAGCGAATGCAGGCTTCCTTGGGTGATTCGATGCCCTATGATTCCATGATTGCAGGAAGCCTTTATGGGGCTGTAGGGTTTAGAAAACCCCTCAACTCTAAACCGTGGTGTTGAGGGGATTGCCCCCTAAACCCTAAACCCTTCAAATCCAAAACCCTAAACCCTAAAACTCTAAAACCCTAAAACCCTAAACCCTAAACTTACTAAACCCTGGAAAAGTCTGCCACGGTTCGAGAAATCTTTGAAGCCCGACTCCACACCCGGAGCCGGAGCAATCATGGACCCAAACAAGGCGCGAAACTCTTTCCAGGGCAGCTTTGGGTTTTGAAGCTTTCAGGTTGGTTTGGGCTTTTTAGGGCTTTGGTAGAGTAGCTAAGTACAGAAAAGGAACACTAAAGCTTCAGTAGAGGAGCTAAGTATAGAAAAAGAACCCATTAAGCCCTAAACCCAGAAAACGCTGGGCTTTTTGGGCTTCAGTAGAGGAGCTAAGTATAGAAAAAGAACCCTAAACCCAGAAAACGGTGGGCTGTTTGGGGGTTTTTTGTGGACCTGAAGCCCTCTACAACTCAGAGCTTGCCCTCCGAGTCCCGTACCCAAACGGAGCGCGAGAGAACCGACCTGGCGGTGGTTCCAAAATGAAATAATATGGTTGAGGGTTTAGGGTTTATGGTTTAGGATTCTTTTGGTTTAGGGGTAGTTCTGGGGTCTGTGGTTGAGGGAGCGTCGTGGTTAGAGGTTTCTGTGGTTTCTAGGGTCTGGCCAATGCTTTACGGCTTGACCCTGGTGCCAGCGCATAGCTTCTGACGCCCCCTTGCGTGCAACAGGATTGCATTGCACACATCGAAGGGAGCGCGCCGGTCTGAAGGGCTGCCGGCACGGGGGGGCTGTTGCAAAAACGTGATATGGTTTAGGGCCTTAGGGTTTGTGCAAGCATGCTAAGGGCATCGGGTGCTAGGGCCTGGATGATTCGTCATCCTGTCTTGCAGCTCCGTATCTGTATAGGCCGACATCACCTACCATTTTCGGGGTCCGTGGCTTCTCGATATACACCCCACAAGAGGTGGGTCTTTTCCGGCTTCAGGTATGGTTCAGGACTTTGAGTTTTTCGGGCTTAGGATGGCTTAGGTTGGTTTAGGGTGTGCTTAGGATTTTTGGGATTTACGGCCTTCGGGTTGAAGGTTTAGGGTAGATAGGGACACCCGATCAAATCCTGAAGCCCCGACACCCAAAACTGAGGTGGACGAAGCATCCTGCATGGATGCCTCGTGTGCTGAAATCCTCAGGCTGAAACCTGACAGTCCAAAGACAGGGCCTAAGTGCTTCGACCTTCACCTTTAAGCTGCGTATTTTAAATGAAGACAGCAGTACAGCCTAAATCTAGTGGTGATCGTGGCCATCATCAACATCGTCATGGCCCTATAAACCCTAAACCCCCTACTATATCCTGAACGGTAAGAGGTCATAAAGCCGAAACTCCTTTTTGGCCAACTCAAACCTGCTCCCCATCGCTGTCATCACCGCTGGGGGAGAGCGTCTCCTCTGCGGCGGAGAGATTTTGGGCCAGAAGGACTTGGGGTTAAGCCTGAAGGCTTTTGAGGGTTTAGGGGTTTAGGGGTTTGGGGGTTGGGGATGCGGGGATTAGGGTTTAGGGGTTTAGCGGTTTAGGGGTCTAGGGTTTAGGGTTTATCAAGATACTACTGAACACACAAGCTTTATCTAGATTGAGCTCGGAGTCCTACTGTGCAGGAGGAACTTGGGACTTGGGTCTCACACTGGCTATTCACCTGAAGCCTTAGGCTGCGACTTTGCGCTGCAAGTTTCAGGCGTTTCTGCTTCAGAAAGCTAGACGGATAGTTCTCTAAATTAGGGTCCCTTCTTGGGTCCCCAATATAGTACGGTGCCCTTACAAAAAAGGGACCCTAAAAAGGGGACCCGCCTAATTGTAGAGAACCACCTAGGACGAGTGATGTCCAGCAGTGCTGGCTCGCCTATATGATTTGGAGGCTGTGGGGGGGCTGTGGGGTAGCAGCTTTGGGGCCTTCTGGGCCTCAAGATAAGATCCCTAAACCCTAAATCCGAGACCCTAAACCCTAAACCCGAAAACCCTAAACCCTAAAACCCTAAAACCCTAAACCCTAAACCCTAGATGTACCGGTTCCGTAAAGGGTAAAAGGGTCCGAGTTCGAGGTCTATGTCCGAGTGCCGGGTTTAGGGTTTGTTAGAGGCTCCTTAACCTCTTACATCCCCAAACTCCAAAAGCACGATGCTCGAAACGGAGACAACCGAAACACTTAAAGACTTAGCCTCAACCCCTGAAGCCGGAACGGAACCCTGAGAGGAAGCCTTTCAAGCTACTACTAAACCAAACTCCGCTTTGTACCCCTCCTCTGCATCCTCCGGAAACCTCGGGCAACCCGAGGAGACCGGGCGCATGGCGGTTTTCGGTCTAGGGTGTATAGGGTACACAGAGTTAAGACTGAGAATAGACGTCCTTTCGAGGGTCCTACAGGGGTTTATGGGTTCCAAAAAAGGGGGTTCTATGCGGGTTCTATGCCTGCTTTGGAGTAAAACGCTTTGGGTTCTAGGTTTGGAACGGCGAGTTTCTTGTTTCAGCACATGACACGGGAAACCCTCGGCCCGAATACGGCAGTCTTCATACTTGATCGGGGTTTGGGGTATAAACATGTTAAGGAGCCACATGCAATGATGTTGTTAGTTTGTTCAGCCGTTTTTGAAGGAATGACTTCCTACTTCTTGAGGCTCTGCTATCACTGAAGTTCCAGTGCCCTACTGCATATGAATCTCAATGAGGCCCCAGGGCTCCACGCCATTGAAGGTTGATGCGAGTTTCTCTCGTAAGGACAAGTAATAAGGCAGCACTAGCACCCCCAGCCCTCGAAGTCCAGGAAGACACAACAAGTAGGGTCGCAAGTGCCTAGCGCGTTATACCTCAAACTGTATGTACAATCAAATCCGTCTCAAGTTCTCTAGGGCCCTATAACTCATTCATCGAAACCGTCCGTTGAAGGCGACTTTTTCGCGACATTTTGCCACTGGCAGCTTCGATGGCTGAGGCTTTATAAGCCTCGAGGCTGGACTCTGAACCACGCCGTTGGGGGTTGCATAGTTCTCACTCAATGCTTCTAGCCTGTGAAACATTGCTTAACGTTCTGAGTGTTGAATGTGGAGTTATAAGGAATACGGCTATTCCGTGAACATGGATCGCGCGTGTTGGGTTCAAAGCTCCCGGAGCCTGGCCATGACCGCCGTCCTGGGTCATTGTGCCTCGTGCCGCCTCAGGCGGCGTTTACCGGCATCGGTGTTTGGCAATGTTCCCAGCAGTCCGTAAAAAAAATCACATCAACCGAACCAATACTCCAAGAAGGGCTTTTCGGAGTCGAAGTAGGGCTTTTCGGGTTTGGGGCTTCAGGCTTGAAACTTCGAGATTAATGTAGTAGGTTTTTGTACGGCTTAGCCTAAATGCCCAACCCATGAATGCAAGAAAGGGCCGGCGGGTCCTTACTTGCGGGAGGTAGCTACTTGTTACACAAGGGTCTAGGGGTTTAGGGTTTAGGGTTCAACCAGCAGGGCAACTAAAGCCTCAAGTACATATAACAACCACTATAGGATTTGGGCTTAGGGTTTTGGGTTTAGATGGGTTTACTAGGGTACCCATAACCGTACATATGCCTACCTGAAAGCTTTACGGAACTCCAGGAACATCGCTTGCTGCAATATCCACCTGAAGTACACCTGTGTAGGGATCAAAGGAGGATGCCAACGTAGGTCCCCTGGCAATTACAAGTGTTCTGTTAGGAGTTGCGCTTGATACCAGGCTTAGGATATGGGCTCGTGGTGTAGGAGTGTCGTGCTTAGCTTGGCGATGAATTTAAGAGAATATACTCGCGTATCCATTTAGACCTTCGCGCCGCTAGCCACTCCAGCGCCGCCACGAGGGTCTACTAAGACTCGCACCGTCAAAGTTGGCCAACCTTACCATTCAGTACCTCTACTTGACAGCTTGATTCCTGCAACTTGCAGAATTGATGTAAGCCCTCCCAAAGGAGGCACTTTGCTTGCTACGTCCTCTGCTCCTCCGCCTTCTCACCATTCTGCTGCCGCTGCCATGTTCGTGGCTTCTTTGTCACATATCTTCGAATAATTATCACTCATAAAGGCAATGGTTACACCTCATGCTATTCTCAGCGCTAATCGCCGGCATCCTCGCACATACTTCTCAGCTTCCTCTCGGCGGCTTCCCGTGCAAAATCCTCGATCATCTCCTCGCGCAGGCGCCTTTGCAGATCCTCCCTTGAGAAGCAGAAGACGAAGTCCAGCCCCCGTCCTCGCCGTCTCAGGTTCAGAGTTATAGTAAACCCCAAAAAAATTGGAACCGGATGAAGGACAATTTAATGCTGGGATTCCCTCTACATTACTCTTACGAGTAAGGATTGAGGCTGTTTGGCTTCCAACTTTTGGGCTTCTACTGTAAGGGTTCAGAGCTTGGGCTTCTTGGGCTTCGGACTTAGGAGTCGGGGGCTTGTAGGGCTCTGTCTGCTTGTGTAAATGTATGTGCATAATATATATATATATATGTATACGATAGTATTCGCAAAATCCTAAAAAATAGATTAGAGATTCTCATATCTCCGTGTTGACTCAGGGGCAGGACGAGTTAGGAAAAGACGACAACAACCAAAGGACATTCAATCAAAGTAGCGGCACGGCGAGGATAAGCCAGAGATGAAATTGAACTCCAAGACCCTAAGTCCTAAAGAGCCGAGTGCCCTGAAAGTCCTAAAGATTTAGGGTTTTGGGTTTCGGGTGAATATGTATCTTCGACTTCGAAGCCAGGTATAATTATACGATCCCAGTTCTCGGCTTGCCGACCCCCCGCACCCCCCAATGGTACTCCCTGCCGGCATGCCCGGGTCCAAACATGCCGAATCCCTGTGACTGCGCGCACTTCTCCCACATGGCAGCTCCAAAACCATCAACTGTCACGAGGATCTCGTCCCAAACACACCCGATCTATACAACCGCTAAGAACCCTAAACCCTAACCCTAACCCCTAACCCCTAAACCGCTAAGAACCTTTGAAAGCAAACTCATCCGAGTGTCTTTTCAGCTCCAGCTTCATGGCCTCGACGCTGGGCCCCGGCAGGCTGTCTGAGGCGCCGAGGCCCAAAGCCGCGCCGTCGAAGTCCCTGGCCCGCAGACATTAAGGGGGTTCAGGGCTCAGGGTTTTAAGGTTGTTTTGTTTACCGGTTTAGGGTTTAGGGTTTTAAAATTATTTGTTTAAGGGTTTAGGGGTTTAAAGTTATTTTTTTAAGGGTTTAGGGTTTGGGGTTTTAAGGTCTAGAGATCGGGTTTCAGGGTTCGGGAGTTTCAGGGCTGGTTCCTTTGAGGGCTTAAGGTTTGGGGAGTTGGCAAGTTGGAGGCAAGGGGTGTAAGCTTCGCGGTTTTTGGGGGGTCTACGGGTCCAGGGTTTGTCGCTGCGCTTTGGGGCTGCGGGTTTGGGGAGAACAGGGATTAGCTCCTGCACCCTAAACCAAAAACTCCCAAACCTGGAAAGCCTATATCCCCAAATCTAAACCCAATAGCCCTAAACCGCCATTAGTCTATGAAGTAACCCCTAAACCCGATGCCCCATAAAGCCCTGAGCCTTAGAACCTGAAAAACCCAATGGCCAACCCCAAGACCTACAACCATCATCATAGACTTTCTCAGAGAACTAACCTACAAAACTACTATCTTAAACTCAAACCTAGCCTTGCCTGTCGATGCTTGGCATGGGCTCGCGACCCAGCACGGTGGAAGCCCGGTGGTTGCGCTTTGGCAGCCAAGAGGTGCTCACCATCCTGACTCTAGACCCTAAGCCCTAAACCCTAAACCCTATAAACTCTAAATCCTTAAACCCTAAACCCCAACCCCTAACCCCTAACCTCTAAACCCTAAACCCTAAACCTCAAGCCCTAACCCCTAACCTCTAAACCCTAAACCTCCAGCCCTCACCATCCTGCGATGGTCATAGCCATCAATCCTGTACACCCCTCATAGGCGAGGCCATGGGGATCCGCCGGGTTTCGGATTTAGGACCTTCTTGGGCGGGAGTTTAGCAGCTGGGGCTTATAAGGGCTGAAGGCTCAAGCTTTCGGCTTCGTGTTGCTGCAATTAAGTTGGATGCACTCCGACACTGAACCTAGAATCCAAGCCGCCTGAATGCGAAACTGCTAGGGCTAAGGCCCAACCTAAGCCCCCCCCGAAAGTAGGTAAAACCATGGCCCAATACCTATAACGGGCTATTACTCTGCGTACTTTTGGGGTCCAGGAAAAGCCGAAAAAAAAAAAAACATTGAACCCTGAAAGCCTGACTGAACAAATTGGATCTCTCCCTGCCTTGCCACTGGCGCCTCTGCAGCACTCTTTGGAGGGCTCGGCGGCGGCTCCGCGTTCCGTGGTGGGGACTCGTGGTGACGGGATGGAGTCTCCTGGGCCAGCGCAAGGCGTGTTCGAGGCTCCGGTGGAGAAGCGGGAGAGGGCCGTGAAACCTGGCGAAGTTGCGGTGAGAGCGACCGGGAAGGCCTTGCTACACTGGGGCTTTGCCAGTGCCCTTGGGCTGTAGCTGTGGGACGAGGCCAGATAGGCCGAGCAGCGACGGGTGGCGTCTGCCGGGCTTTGGGTGAAAGAGGTGGGCTGAAGCTCCGAAAGCGACTGGGAGGATGGGGAGACGCGAAGTGCTGGTGGGAGCTGAAGAGCGGAGACTCGGGTTGCAGAGGCAAAGGCACCGGCACCCGATGTGCGAAGCTGGGAGCTGCTGGGACCAGGAGGGGCTGGTAAAGGGACCCGGACCATGGGCGCAGCGACTGCGACAGGGGCCTGAAGGCCGGGGTCGGGCTCCACGCCCTCGGAGGAATGACCTTGGCCCCACGAGCTAAACCAAAGATCCTCACAAAGATCATCAGACAAGAAACCCTACTTAAGATCAAAACAACGAAGGTACATGCTTTACAATTAGACACGCACGCGCACACACACACACACACCTACCTAGACAAAAGTCTAAACCTTCTGATCTGTCTTTCCCCCAAACCCGCCTTTGGGACCGGTATTTCGACAACCTCGGCTTGGCTGCGCGAGGTGGCCACTGACTCGGTATCTCTCGCAGGCCCAGCCCGCATAGCAGCACGCTGCGCCGCTGTCGGCATGGGTGGCTCCCTCGTTGGGGTACGGAAGATGTGACGCTTGGCCTCAGTTTGGGCTCCAGCTTTCAATCAAGCTAGGACGGCCTGCAGAAGACTAGCACTAGTAATCATTTAGGCCTCTCTACCACATCTCTTCTTCGAATGTCCTTGACCAATGTCCCTCACACGGATCCTTTGCACAACCGTACACTACAAAAAAGGCAGCGCAAACTCAGAACCTCAACTTTAACCAGAGGTTTCCAAAGGAGCCAAGCATTCGGTACTTGGGCCTGGGACATGTAGACTAGTGTTCGGCTTTATATGGAGGTTTCCGAGAATAGGGGACCCTAATGTAGTACCTTAAGTAGTAGGATCCTTATTATAAGGACCCCAAAATTAAGGTACTGACTCTTACAGGCTATTTGGTGACTTAGACCTTGGGTGTAATTCTTCCCGGACTAGACTTACGAGGCTGCAGCTTGAAAGGGAGCTCTAGCTTCGACCCGAGCCCTAACCTAGATGACGAAAAGCAGTTGCATGCCGTTTCTGATGAAAACAACTTGTTAAGGTCAGATATAGGATCACAGTCACGATTTCATCTCAGTTAATTTAAGGGGCGGGTTGAGGGTCTGCATCACGGTCTAAAGGCGTGGTTCGTCGGACGAAGCACGACTTCAGACCCTAAGCCACCAACGCTATTTCCCTATACACGCGGAGGGCTTAGGGATTTGGGTTTATGGTTTAGGGTTTAGGGCTTTAGAGTTTTAGGGTTTAGGGTTCAGGGGGCAGGAAGCCCTAAACCTCTTGACCAAAGCCTTACAGCGATTTCAAGTGGCCAGCTCATTTGGATGCTCGTCCTCCTCGCCATCACTCATCGGAATAGGCAGAGGCCCCCCCTCGCCCCGTTTCGGGTCTAGGTGGCACAGGGGTTTCAGGATTAACGAGTCGAGGGTTCACACGTTTTGAGTTTAGGGTTTAGGGTTCAGGGGTTAAGGGCATCTAGGGTGTTGACTCACGAGGTGGGGCAACCAGTCAGTTGCTTTTGGGTGTAGCGTCTACGGTACAGCCAGAGCCTCACCCACTGACACACTTTTCCCCATCTCGGGCAGAGGCATGCCAAGAATCTCACGGCGACATGAGCCGAACTGCAGAGACAAAAGGCGGTTTCCGAAGATAGGGGCCCCTAACATAGTACCCTATATAGTAGGATCCTTATTAGAAGGACCCCAAAAGAAGGTACCCTAATTTTCGGAGAGTCCCACATCTTGTGGATCGCTCCAAGACCCAGCTGCAGCAGCGGCTTTAGTAAAGCAGAATCGGGTTCGGGTGCAATTTTTGTATAGCGCCAACTTAAGGAAGCCTAAGGAATGATGTTGGTACCTCCGATATACCACAAATATGGCCCTGTTCTCGCTATTGACGCCTGTATCATAAAACCATAGGATGCCCTCTACGCCCCTCAGCACACCCTATAAGAACGCTATGGCCACGACGTTCCAGATCAAAGCCTTAGGGGCCGAGTACCCGAGCCCGAAAGCGGTTAGCCTTTGCATTGCAGCAGGATTTCATGAGCCCAAAACGGTCAAAGGCCGCCCTGAACCCTAACCCTTGAAAGCCCTAAACCCTGAACCAGGAGCCATAAACGCTAAGCCCTATAAAGCCTAAACCCTATGCCCTAAGCAGAAGTTCTCGCTGGGTGTATGGCGTCTTCGAGTGGTAGTCGCTTCTCTCAGCGAAGCCTCCGGCCGAGCTTGTTTTCTCCAACAACCAGGACCGCCCCAAGTCGCCGTGAATAAAGCCATTATGATCATTCTGAATAGAAGAGGTGCGAAGTATAATTCCCTAAACCCTAAACCCTAATAAATAGGGAGTAGCTGGGGAGGGGGGGGGGGGGGTCTAGGAACCTCTAAATATCCTAAACTTTAACCCTTCAGCCCCCAAACTTAAACCCTAGGCGACTTCATGTCCCTCAACCCCACCTGGATCCCAAAGTATGTAGAGTCGTAGCCTTTCATAGGTGTTGGGACATTATTTACCTACTTGCGAGGGTTTCTAATACCCTAAACCCTAAAACCCTAAACCCTAAAACCCTAAACCCTAAAGTTTGGGTGAGACCGAAGCTAGAGCCTAAACCCTGACTCGCTACGGACGCTTTTCCTAAGGCCGGCTCGCGCAGTGCAGGACGGGAAAGCGCCAGTGAATCGATGCAGCGCAACCTCCGGAGAGTGCATTCAAAGGGTGTATGCGGAATTTAGAGTTATATGGGCATTCAGGGTTTAGGATTTTTTGGGTGCCGGGGAATATGGGTGCGCCTGGTTTAGGATATGGACCTGTACATAGACAAATATATATATATATACACATGTATAGAGAGAGGCTTATAGGGGCTGCGACCTACTTGGATTCAATGCCCGAAACACGTGAAAGACGTGATGTAGGCTTAGGGTTGACACCCCCCGCGTCGAAAGTTTTGAGCCTGAGGGCCTTTTTGTCCAGCCCTCACGTGTTCAGGGCAGGGCACTCGGTAGGGTATCTGTACACTATCTGTACACTGGGTGGGGCTGCCCTGCCTGTAACCCTGCTTAGCAACTACATACCAGGTCCTTCGATCCTGTGAGTATAGGGTGTAGGGGGGGTGGGGGGCTAAGAAACTGTATGTGAAGGCGCTGAAATGGAACCGGTTTGGGTGGCTCATTTCCATGTATAAAGGCACACGGTCTATCAAGAAATTCACGGCACAATTTCGCAACAACTTGGTAACCCGACTTGTTAAGCCATAAAACCCAAACTCGAGAAGATAGCCTGAACAATCCAGCATGTTAAACACCGGTCAATCATTGCGTAGCATTTACAGAGACAGTTCGCCTGACATTCTGCTCTGTCATGCAGGGCTTTGGTTCCATGCTTGGCCTTGCGATGATTCAACGGGTTGAAGGTCTTGCAGGGTTAAGAGTAATAGGGTCCAAGTCTACGGCTGTTGGGTTTAGTGCATGGGGTATAGGGTTTAGTGCTTAGGGCTTAGGGTTTATTGCTGATGGTCAGTTATAGAAGCCCCTAAACTCCTAAACAATGAATCTGAATACACCTCAAAAGCTGGGTATTGGAGTGTCTGGAGATCTATTTGGTTGGAGCCTCCGTCCCATTCTCCAAGAAAAGCTCCACGAGAAAGGAGCCTGTCAGTTGAATCTGCCGCTTAAACAAAAAAGGTATCCCACTATAGCTGTTATTTTTCGGAGTTTTAAGATCTTTATGAGGGTTGATGGAGGTGTAGGAAAATTGCCAATAAAATCCCCTGGCAGTCCCAACTGAGCTGAGACTGTTATGTACCGCAAACCCGAGTCTACTCAGCAAGGCCGTTTGGGGTTTAGAGTTCAAGGCCCCTTTTACAAGCGCCCCAACCTTCACCCAAGGTTTCCACATAATGTTGGCAAGACGGGCGCTGCGCCTACGAAGTGATCACGCTTCTGCATTTAGGGCTTTCAGGCGTTACCTGGACCCGAAGACACCTAGCTTTGCATGGTTCCTTAATATGACTTCCTTGTACAAGTCCTTAAACAGCTAGGTCATTTGGGGTTTAGTCTTCGGCTCATTGGCTGTCATTCGGAGCTATCTGGGTTTAAATCGGAACACCCTAACAAATCCTGAAGCCCAAACCCGAAACCCTAACACCCTGAAGCCCTAAACAGGGTTTAGGGTTCCCTCCGGCATCACATGGCCTTGCGATAGCCTTCGACACCGTGCCACCTGCCAGCTGCCCCACACCCAGTTAGGGTTTAGGGTTTGTGGCCTAGATTCATTAGCACGACATTGGTGTACATAAATGAAAGTAGGAACCCTAAGGAACGCTGCATGAAATCATCTCGGCATCTATATTGTCCCACAACCCTTTCCGCCAGGCCAAACCTCGCCCAAGCTCTCAAGAGCCCTTATATAGTCCCGTGTAAAGCCTGACATTCTCGTTATCATACCCTCAACCCCTCCAAAACCCTACTATTTTCGTATCATGCCCTCCAAACCCTACTGTTTTCGGTATCCTACCCTCCAAACCCTATTCTACTCACGAAAGTCTCCTACATTATACCCCGTATAGTTACAGTACTGTGGTACTCTGTACGGAAACCCTAGAAGGAACCAACCCTGAAGACACCTAAAAGCCCTGAACCCCGTACGCCCAAAAGTCTAAAGCCAAGAAGACGCTAGCGCGAAAATGCAAACCTTGAGCGCTGACCTGACACCTAGACCCCAAGCCCGAGACCTACAAAAGCTAAACGGCCTAAGTTAGCCGCTAATCTGTCAGCGCTAACCTTACAATCCGAAGCCCGGGCAATACCATTCCCGTTCAGCCTCTATACAAGTATGGTATTTTATACCTTCAAGGACTATAGGTTTTCGGGGCCGGGGCTTAGGGTTTGGCGGTGTTGGGGTATTGGGGTTTGGGGTTTAGGGTTCTTTCCTTTAAGACCCCTACATCATAGAACCCTTATCATATGTCGAAAGGGACCCGTATAAGAGGAACCCTGCTCCAATTCTTACCCTAAGGGTCCACGTACCTAATAATCATATACTCTCCCAAATAAATTAACCTGGACAACTACTCTCCGCAACCAAAGTACCTTATTATTGGGTCCTTTGGACCCTTAGGGTTAAGCTCCGAGACACCCCGCGAGCCTCGCAGACATGCCTTGGCAGCTTCCACGGCCAGGCTTCCCGGGATTTTGGGATTGCGACAAACAAGGTTTAGGATCTATACCTTAACCGCTTTAATTTAGCCGACAGGAACCTACTTTTTTAAGTAGGGTCCTTATTCCATATTGATTGGTACTAGAATAAGAGCCGACACAAAGGTAGGTTTAGTAGGGTACGGTAGTGGCCTTAAGAATGAGACTAGGTTTAGGGCTATAAGCGGGACCCATAAAGCGGATCTATCACGGCTGAGGGCTTTCGGCTTGCACGCTATCTTCTATTCCTTCAGTGGCCCTCTCAGAGGTGGACAGAATCCAGCAACAAATCGGAAATGTCTGCAG